CTCTGCTCACTGTGGTGGTGGGAAAGGGCCAAGGAGAGCCCACACCTCCAATGGGAACCACAGCTACTCAAGGTCAAGTTCTGCCCCAAGGGTGAGAGCTGGGGAGAAAGGGAGAGGAATAACTCAATAACAGTGCTGCGAGGTCCCCCAGGTCTCCCAGGCAGCGCTGAGCAACCAGGGGAGCAGAGAGGTGGCCTTCTCTTTGGAAATGACTCCTCTGTCCCTTGGGAGGGATGGAGGAGGTTCCTCGGGAGGCAGCAAGATGCGGAAGGCAGAGCACTGGAGATGGGCAAGGTCGGCAGGTGGGACTGGGCAGGAGGGCTGGGAGGAGCAGGAGCCGCAGCTCCTGAAAAAGGTCAGTGCCTTGGGAAGAGGAAGGCAGCCAGCGATGTCACGGTGGACAGTCCCAGAGGTGGACAGGCGCCCAAAAGAAAGGGAGGAAGGAGGACCCAAAAGAAAGCAGTGCCCAGGAACGAAGGTGGGGAAAAGCGTTTCCAATGATAGGGGCTGGCACGGGGGGGGGGGTCCCAGGAAGAGCAGGGCAGGAAAGAGGCTCTCAGGGGTTGAGGGCACATGGGCAAAAGGTCAAAGGGTCAAGGGTTAGAGGGCACGAGGGCATGCTACAGGCTGAGCAGAGAATGGGCCCCATGCCAGGGCAAGGTCTCAGCCCAGCGGCTGCAGCCTCAGTGCACCCTACCCGCAACCCAATCGCCAGGCCACCTGGCTTCCTCTGGGAAAATCTCCAGCTTCTCAGGGAGGAGCTGCTGCGCCACAAGCCAGGTACAATCGGAGGCCACTGTGGAAATCTGCATGCATCAGTGTCCCACGGCTTGGAGGGTCGTCTGCCTCGGCACAGTGACCAAGAGGGCTTCAGCACAGCCAGCAGAAGCCAAGTCCTCCTAGTCAGCTGCTCGGAGGGCAGGACCAGGTGTGGAGAAGGTGCTGGAGACCCGAGGGAGCCAGACGGAGCCTCGCTCTCCAGACGTCGGTGGTGTAGACTGGAGGCAAAGGCCAACGCAAGTCATTCCAATATCGTCTCAGCATGTCAACAAGCACCAGGAAGGCAGCTGGCCCAAGGAAGGGGCCGCAGGTGTGTTCTCAGAGTCGGCATCACCAGGACAGGGCCCAAGCAGGGAGTGACCAGGGCCAGACAAGGCAGAGTCGCAGAGGGCAGGCCCCGGGTGGGGAGACCAGGCTGAGAGTCCCTGCCTCGATGGGGAAAGCTTTCCCAGACCCTGGGTGTCCCTCCCCAGCAGGCAGCTTCTGTGCACACTGGCTGCTTCTGGTGACTGATGCAGGGGGCCGAGGGCAGCTCAGAGTATCTGGCAGGGACGTGGCTGGGCCTGGGCTTCAGGTGTTTCTCTGACAGCGTGCAGAGGAGAGCTCGGGGTGGTGAGGCTGCAGGTGGGCTGCAGGGAGGCTGCTGCTGGAGCCCAGCGTGGAGAGAGGCCCTCCCTGAGCAGGGGACGGGAAGGCCAAGGCCAGGAGCTGGTCAGAGGGAACGGGTGGTGGGAGTCAGGGTTGCTGGTGCACGATGACGCCCAGCTTTCTGACTCGGGCAATCGGGACAGCCATGGTCCCACTGGGGCCAGACAGTGGGTCAGAACACCAGGTGGCGGCAGGTGCACACAGGAGAGACACCCTCTGAGTTAACAGGTGGGCGGGAACGGACGGGTTCACACTCAAGTGCTCTCAAAGTCTGTGGCGGAAGCAGGGGAAGCCGGGTCCTTCAGACGACATGGGTTTTCTCTGTGATGCAGACATGGGTTTTCTCTGTGATGTTCCTGTTGGAACAGGAAGGGGTGAAACACAGTAGCCCCCTCTCATCCACTACCTGTGTTAATGGTGGTCGGAAAATAGTACATGGAAAGTTCCAGAAATACACAATTTATACATTTTTGAATGAGCTTTACTCTAGCATATTGTTCCAATGTTATCAGCGATGGCTACTCTGCGGCGGTGCCTGACTCACACCTTAAACTGCACCTGAGGTTCCACACAGGGAAGGAACAGCGCATGCAGGGCCCAGCCACCTTTAGGATGTCCTGGAACACAGAACAGCCCGTGGGACTACCACAGTCACCAGAGAGGGGACAGGCACAAACAGGGACCACCCAGCAATGCAGGTGACCTGTGGGACTGGAGGCCATTCGCCTTCTGACTCTGCTTATGTGATCGATTCTGCTGCAAAGCCTTTAGTTTCTACGAAGTCAAACTTACATCTTTTCCTTTCCCATGGCACACCTTCAAAGCCATCCCCTAAATGGCAGTTTGGATCAAACAAACAAAATACCCAGGGAGGCCACAGCCACCGATCTGAACGCATCCCGGCCACGTACTGCTGAGTGCCTCGGAGCCCAAGGCTCACCCTGGGCTATGTGCTGACGGTGTCAGGAGGGGCCAGAGACCGAAGGGGGCTGCCCCAGGGAGGGGGCTCGAGGCTGGTACTCGGGATAGAGGACGGGATAGAGGACGGCTTAGTCTTCCCCTATACCCTCCCACGTGGTAGATTTTTTTAAAAACACGTGCATTACATATTTTAAAAATAAGTCCAATCCAACAAAGGAAAATTACAAAAGAAGAAAAAAATTACAAAGGAAGAAAAAGGACAAGAAGCCCATGGTCAACGTGCCGCTGGGTGGTTTTCTCCAGCAGATGCGCCTGGGTGGACCCGTGTTAGGGCAGATGTCACCGAAGTCACAGGACCAGGGACTGGAGGATGTAAACAAGATGCTTAGAAGGCAAGGGCCCCGCTGGGCAGTGGGGAGAAAGCAGATACACTTCAGGCACAGACAGCCACTGACCCCAGGGACAAGATCCCCTGGGATCAGCGTGGGACACTGAGGCACAGAAAGGTCAAGTGACCCACAAGGGCACACAGCTAACTGGCTGCATTCTGGCTCTGGGGCTAAGTAACCGCCACCTTGACGCCACTTCTCACAACATCACACCAGCGAGAACCAGCTACGGAGTAGGAGCACAGTTTCGTGACAACATTATAAATATGTGTGTGTGTATCTGTGTGCACACTTACAGGCGGGGTGTTTACAGGCCAACACTGGAAATAAATGAAGTAAAACGTTAACAGTGGTTATGAGTGGTGATTTTTTAAAAAAATGATTTGTGTAGTTTTTCTAAAATTAACATTAATATGATTAACAGGAAAAAATGCTATTTAAAACAGTCACTGGAATGGGCAAGTGAGAGGCATTCGATAAAAATAGACTTTCTGGAAAAGGGTGTCTTGGCAACATACCCTGAGAATGTGAATGAACACCCAGTCCTCTGCCGAATTCAGGAGCAGTCGTGGGAAGAGGGGAAACTTAGAGACCTGGGTTCAGGCTACGTAGAAAGTGTCAACTCCTGAGCCTCCAATTCCTACACAAACACGAGCTTCAGAGCAATAAAACTCGCTTCACAAAGTCGTTGTAGAGACCAAGGAAGCCACCACAAATGAAAAAATCCTAAGAAGCCATTAAACCGTGTGAGTTCAACAGTATTAAGTTTGCCTTTTGCTCCTTCAATAACAATGGGCAAAGACCCAGCTCAAAATTAAACAGTGCTTTTAAAATACAGTGCCAGTTCCTGACTGATCGGTCACTTTGATTTACGAAAGCAGACACTCCAAATCCAGAATGAGGTATTTCCAAATCCAAAATCGGCTTCAGACTGCTTGTTGAGCCTGGATAAGGATACAGGTGTCTCCACTCCTCCCATGTTTCAACTCAAAAACTGCTATCACTGCTCGGTTTTGAGGATGGCTGCTTCCTTCGTACGGGGCCAGGCTCCTGGTCTTCCCAGGAGCCAAGGTCATGGTCTCGGCTTGCCAGCTTGCCCACAGCCATCCGAAGCTCTCTGGCCTCTGCCCACGAAAGCTCATGAACCTTCTGGTACCAAATCGAGAGTCGAGGTGATTTTCTAAAACACTGACCCCGCTCCCACATCCCTTTGGCCCTCCCTGCCCCGGGGATGGGAGGTGTCTCCCTTCTGTGAGCCTGGGCTGCCCACTCAATTCCTGATGGGGGCCTGCCCACCTTACTGGCCACTATCCGCTCAGGCCAGCCTCCAACCCACCCACTGCCACCAGCTCCCAGCTCCGCTCTTGGCCACCTATAGCCTACCACTATAGCAGCCAGAAAAATTAAGATAGAACAGACACCATTCCAGTAGGTATACTTCAGTTGTTTTTAGTATACTCACAGGCTGTACGGAGATCATCGTTGCTTCCCAGCGGCTTGGGAGACTGAGGCAGGAGGATTGTGAGTTCAAAGCCAGCCTCAGCAATTAAGTGAGGCCCTAAGGAACTCAGTGAGACCCTGTGTCTAAATAAAATATAAAAAAGAGCTGGGGATGGGGCTCAGTGGTTGAGCACCCTGGGTTTAATCCCTGGTACCAAAAACAAAACAAAATTCACCGACTATCTAATTTCAGGATATTCTCATCATCCTAAAAAGAACCCCTGTAGATGTTCACTCCCTATCCACCCTCCCACGCCCTGGCAACTGCTGATGTACCTTCTGCCTCCATGGTTCACCTATTCTGGGTGTTACATATAAAGGGGAAGCAAGCACTTGTGGCCATTTGTGACGGGCTTCTTTCACAAGTTTTGATGTTCAGTCACTTGCAGTATCGGCATTTATTTTTTTAAATAATTTTCTTTTTTTTTCTCTTTGGTACTGGGGATTGAACCCAGGGGCATTTACCCATTGAGCCACATCCACAGGGATTTGGAGACAGGGTCTCACTAAGTTGCTTAGTGTCTTGCTAAGTTGCTTATGGCCTCAATAAGTTGCTGAGGTTGCCTTGAACTTGCAATCCTCCTGCCTCAGCCTCCCAAGTTGCTGGGATTACAGGTGTGCACCACCACACCTGGCTCTATTACTTCTTATTGTAGTAAAAATATGCCTAACATACAATTTAGCATCTTGACCCCTTTTTTTTAAGGAATTTATTTATGTACCAAGGAGATGTTTAAAAATAAATTTAAGGAAACATTGACCTCTTAGCCACAGAGTACAGGTGAGAAGCCATAGATGCCTAAAATTTCTACGAATACATGGGTTTACTAAAACCAAGACTCTCCATCAATGTTGAAACTTGCTCTTGGGAGGAGATCCCCATTTTATGATGTTTGGACACACTCTTTCTCCTGCTGGATAGTTTCCTTTGAGGGAAGAGAATTTTTTTCTTCAGTATTAGTTTTCTTCAGTTTTGATTTGTCAAACTTTTCCACTTCAGACAAGTCCGGTTTATCACTCATCTTGACTAAAAGAAAGACTGAAGCCTTGAGACTAGCGTAGAGCCATCGGTTCACTCTGGAGCAGGTTGGCGTTCCAGTGCAGAAACAGGCACTTAAACGTCAGTAGCAGGCACCACCCCCATATCCCGCCCCAGCCCTCTGCATCTTGACCCTTTTTAAGCGTGTAGTTCAGTGATATTGACACTCACATTGCTGTGCAACCTCACCACCATCCAAACCGTCTTGTTCAAGGGTAACCCAGTCCATGACAACCCCAGCACTTACTTCTCTACGGCTGTAATTACTCTAAGCACCTCACCCAAGCGGCACCACTCTTTTTTTTTTTTTTTTGCATTTTTAATTTAGGTTTGTTTTATTTAAGTTTAATGTTAATTCCATGCTGTGTTTCAGTAAGAACAATACACTCTTGACTGGTGTATTTCACTTAGCATGACGTCCTCCAGTGAGGCTGCATTACAGCCTGTCAATGTCTCCCTCTCAAGGCTGGGTGGCGCCCCTGCCATTGTAGCTGTATTCTGCCACACCCGACTCATCAGCTAGTGCTGCCTGGGCTACTTTCATGTTTCACTACCATGAGCACTACTGCCGTGAAAATTAGAGCTCAGAGAGTTCTTTGAAACTTGCTTCCAGTTCTTCTGCATGTATTCCCAGCAATGGGACCTTGAGTGGCTGAGGGACCCTGCACCATGTCCCACAGCAGCAGTCCCTTTACATCCTCACCAACAGCGCCAAGAGTTCCGACTTCGCTACACCGGCAACAGTGTTTCACGTTTTTGTTTGTTTGTTGATTGTAACCATCCTAGGGGGTGTGATCAGGTCTCCCTGGAGTCTTGATTTTCAGTGGCACATAATCCTGGTGGCTTGGGAGGCTGAGGCAGGAGGATCATGAGTTCAAAGCCAGCCTCAGCAATGGCAAAGTTCTAAGCACCTCAGTGAGACCCTGTCTCTAAAGAAAATACAAAACAGGGCTGGGGATGTGGCTCAGTAGTGGAATGCCTCAGTGGTTCAATCCCTGGTACCAAAAAAAAAAAAAAAAAATCCTTTGCCCATTTTTTAACTTATCTATTGCTCTTTTGTTATTTTTAGGAATCCTCATTAGGTGTGATGACACTCAGCTATTTGGGAGGCTGAGACAGGAGGATCATGAGTTTGAGGCCAGCCTTATTTAGTAAGGCCTTATCTCAAAACAAAACCAAAATAAAACAAAAAGGAGCTCTCTATTTTGGATATCACTCCTTTATCAGGGGACTTGGAAATACTTTGTCACATTCTGATGTGTCTTCACACATTTTTTATAATGTCCCTTGAAGCACACACATTTTAAATTTTGATGAAGCAGTTTATTTTTTCTCTGGTTGCTGATTCTTTTGACATGGCGTGCAAGTAGCCACCACCCGATCCAAGTTATGAAGACTTACACCTGTTCCCTTTTAGGAGTTCTAAGGTTTGCTCTGCGTGCTGGCCTTTGGTCTGTTTGGAGTTAACTGATGCACACAGCAGCCCAACCTCTTTCTTTTACACAGGGGCGTCCAGTGTAAATGGAAGACCATTCCTTCCCCATTGCATAGTCTTGGCCCACTTGCCGAAAAACCAGTTGACCACAGCCCTGTGGGTTTATTTCTGGAAATTCAGTTCCACCCCATGGATCTGGTCCTACCTGCACGCCAGGGCACCACATCTCGATGATGGCAGCTTTGTAATAAGTTTTGAAATGGGGAGGTATGAAGTCACCAACTTTGTCTTTCTATTTCAACATTCTTTTGGCTGCTTGGAATCCTTTGAATTCCCATAAAAAAATGTTAGTATCAGCTTGTCGCAAAAAGGCCATTGAAATTACAGTGCCTCTAGATTAACTAGGGAAGTAGCTTCATCTCAACCACATTAAGGCTTGTGACCAAAGAACAGGATGGCTTTCTATTTCAACTTTCAACAGTGTTTTGTAGTTTTCAATACACTGGTCTTACACATCTTTGCTTAAATTTATTCCCAGGTATTTTATCCTTTTTTTATTCCTTTTAAAATTTCATTTTGGATTTTTTTAAAGCTAGTGTATAGAAATGCCAGCATGCCTGGCTCTGTCTTAGGATGTTGTGATGATTATATCTTAGTGTAGATTTCTAAATTTATCCTACTTGGGGTTCATGGAGCTTTTTGATGTGTAGACTAATGTTTTTCACCAAATTAGACAGTTTCCAACCTTTCTCTCCAAATATTCTTCTGCTCTGTCTCTTCTTCCCTAAAATTGACAGCGTGCGTATGTTGGGGTGCTGACAGTGTTCCAGGGGTCTCTGACGCTCTCTCCACTTATCCTCCTTCTTTCTGTTTCTGTGCCTCAGCCGGGATGGTCTCAGTGGAATAAGTCATAAATTGCTTCTCCTGCTCAAATCACTGTTCAGCCGCCCCAGGGAATATTTTTTCTGTTTTGGTTATTGTACTTCTCAACTTTTCAATTTTCCATTTGCTTCCTTTTTATAACTTCTATTCCATTGTGGATCATCTCTACTTGAGAATCCATTCATTCATCTAGGAGGGTTTTCTTCAGTTCTTTGAATGTATTTTGAATAGCTGATTTGTCTAGTAATTCCAATCTGAGAGCTTCCTTGGGGATAGTTCCTATTGATCGCCTTTTCCCACTAAGGATTCTTTTTTTGCAAGCATATTTTATAAGTTTTGTTAAACTGGACATTTCAGATCATAAAAACTGATGGTTCTGGAAGCTGGCTTCTGCACCTCTCTAGGGTTTTTTGCTACAGCTACTCGGGCAGCGATTTTCCTGGTTATTATGCAAAGACTGTATTCTATGTCATGTGTGGTCACTGAAGCCTTCAATCAGTTAACTTATTAGTCAGCTGGTGATGGACAGAGATCCTTCTGGAACCAATAAACATTCATCCTTTGCTGAAAAGTCCTGCGTGCATCTTGGGCACCTCCACCAGCCAGGCAGAGTTAGAGCTCCGCTCACCAAGTCCCAAGACCGGGCAGAGTGGAGGAGTCACTTCCTTCCCCGGCACACAGCCGACACACAGACGCTGCCTTCTGGATTCTAGGAATATATCCAGAACTTTCCAAAGTCCCCTTCAGGCGGACACCTCCCTCCCCAACCTTCCCTTTGTAGCCTTGTTAGTCCATTGCTTGTCCCTCTGTCACCCATCACCTGAGGCAGCTGTCTTAGGAAGATGAAAGTCAAACAGGTGTCCCTGGGGACAGGCATTCAGCGCTGGAGAAGGCTGAGTGAGGGAAAAAGAAAGACCATTGGGGGGCCTTCAAGGGAGTCACTGGGCAGGTCGGGGCAGGTGGAGTTAACACAGTTCTGCAAGATCTGGCCGCTGCGAACCCCACTCTGCCCTGCCCTGTGCCTCTGGTGCTCTGCTCCAACGAGCAGAGGGTTCAGTTTCCAGAACAGGCTAATCCTAGCCTGGAGCCTTTGCAACAGTCCTTCCTGTGCCTGAGAAGCGCTCTCCTCTGACCTCTGCTCAGTTGTTCCTTCATTTCATGAAGGTCTCCAATTAAACGGTGCTGCTTCCAAGGAACAAAAAGAAACGATTCCCACCAGGTCACAGCCACTGCTCTGCCCATGGGTCCCCAGCCTGCTGGCTAATCCACTCTGCTGTCAGCCAAGGGAGGGACTTGGGAGCAAGGCTGTGGGACCTAAACTACCTGCAGGAGGGGGCCAGTCCCTCACTCACTGGAGCCTGGTGAGGCCTGTTACATGCTGGCGGGGGCACAGCAAGGATTGAAGCTGCCTCCCGAGGGTCCCTTTGACCAAATGGGCTGGGATGTCCCTGACCCCAGAACGCTTCCCACAGGGGTCCTAGCAGGGACTGGTGTAAGCAAGAGCGAGAATTGGTCATTGAGTACATGCAGCAGGAGGTGTGGCCCTTCGGGAAGGAAAGTCCTCCCCCTCCAGTCAGCAGGGGTGTGCGCATGTCCGTGTGTGCTCCCCAGAGAACCTGGGGGCAGGAGGAGACACAGCTCAAAATAAGACCACCGGGGCCTCTCCTGCTCTGGCCAGGAGGAGACTCTAGGGTCTGGACGTGCCCCCTGTGGAGGTGGAAGGTCGAGGGCACCTGGGAACCTCCACCCCTCCCCATCCTAGCCCCCTGGCATTTGGAAAAAAGAACCCATGCTTCCCACTTGTGAGAGGGGCTGCCCTGGTCTCAGACGCAAGAAGCAGAAACAAACAAACCCTGGCACAGCCCTGGACAATTTGCCCAGCAGGTCACAGCGGATTCCCAAGGGGGAGGCCGAGGAGCTGGGGTCACACCCTTGCTCCACCGCCAGCCAGGGCTGCCAACTGAACGGGCGACTTCATTCTCTGACTCTGAGTCTCTAGGCAGGGTTAGAGATGCCTCCAACTAGCTCATGTCAATCAAATGCAGAGGCATCCTGCAGGGTGAGGTTGCAGGAGGCACCCCACCCCGTGGCCACTCCCCATCTCTGTTCAGTTCTTGTGATACCTGGGCCAGCATCACTATAGGAAACTGAGGCACTTGGAGCCTCATGGCTGGGTGCTACAATGTCACTGCCCCCAGAGTACCACAGGGACACTGTTGTCATGTGACTCATGGTGGACGGGATGCAATGACCACGGGTGCCTTAGTCCCTTGAGCAGGCCTGGTCTCTGCGGGGGCTGGGAATAGAGACGCACAGATCGGAGCTCTGGATGGGGCTTGGAGGGCAGAGGCCCAGGCTGGCCCCTCTATGCTTTCGGGTCTGCGCTGGGGACTGGCCAGCTCCAGCTTCCCCAGCCCCGCCCTCCTCAGCTGCTGGACTCCTTTCCTGCCTTCAAGAAGTTTCCGGTACCATCCACTCCTCCCACCCTCTGCCTCCGCTGGTCACCCTCTCCCCCTGCCCAAGCTGCCCAGGTTGCCAAAACTCACTGCCAAGTTCAAAGACCTCTTCTCAGGCTTAAGAGTCCCCCACCTGAGCTGGGTGTGTGGCTCAGAGGTCATGAGGTCCACCCTGGTACTGCCCCCCAAAAAAAGACCCCCCAAATTTCTCTCCCATCCACACGCTGCCTGTCTCCACTAATCCTCCTCCGCACCCCAACCCCTACA